TTTACAATAGGTAAGATCTGGAAACAGCCCAAGTGCCCATCAGTAGATGAGTGGATAAAAAAGATGTGGTACATTCACAAAGTGCAATACCACACAGCTGTAAAAAAGGAGGATCTATTATCCTTTGAGACAACATGAAGGGACCTGGAGAGTATTGTGCTAAATAAGCCTGTTAGAGAAAGACAAGTATCACATGATCTCACTCATATGTGGAATCTAATGAATAAAATAAAGTGATGAACAAAACAGATCCAGAGACATGAAAGTATGCAGTAGACTAATTTCAAAAGGAAGGGGGCAACTGGGAAGAGTTTAACCAAAGAACTTATATGCATATATACATAACCCATGGACAGACAATAGTGTGGTAGAAGCCTGAGGAGAAGGTGGGGGTAGGGTGGAGGGGTCTATAGGAGAAAAAAAAAGGGACATCTGTAATACTTTCAACAACACAAATAATAATTTTTAAAAAAGAATTCACCTTCACAGGAAAAAAAATCACATATGCAAATTTGTCATTGTAATACACCACCTTAACAGAGTAAAAATAAAAATCATATGATCTTATCAATAGGTGCAACAAAAGCATTTGAAAAAGATGCAACATCCATTTATAATTAAAACACTTAATAGAATGGGTATAGAATAAAAGTACCTCCAAGGAAGAATAAACTTACCTCAACATATTGGCGGCTATCTACGGCAAACCAGCAAATTGTGTACTGAATATTGAGTAGCTGAAAGCTTTTCCTCTAAGGTTAGGAACAAGAAAGGATGCCCACTCTCACCACTGTTATTCAACATAGTATTAGAAGTCATGGCCAGAGACATTAGGGAAGAGAACGAAATGAAAAGCATCCAGATTGAGAATAAAGAAGTGAAATGATCACTTTTTGCAGATGACATGATGTTTCATATAGAGAACCCTAAAAACTTCACCAAAAAATTACTAGAAATAAATACAGTAAATTTGCAGGACACCAAAGCAATGTATAAAAATCTATTATGTTCCTATATACTTACAATAACATTTCAAAAAACAAAACAAAATGAAAGAAAAATCATTTGCAATTGCAACCAAAAGAATAAAATCTCTAGGTATGAACTAAACAAAAAGGAGAGAGAGAGAGAGAGAGAGAGAGAGAGAGAGACACCAGCTGCTTGCCTCCTGCGCACATGCCCTTGACCAGGAATTGAATCCCGTGACCCTTTAGCCCTCAGGCCCACATACTAACCACTATGACAAACCGGCCAGGGCAGGACCGGTCCTTTTTCTTTTCTTTTCTTTTTTTGTTTTGCTAGCAATGGCATAACTCTTTCTTTAAAAAAACAAAAAAACAAAACCTTTCAGCCTTGGGAGTTAAAATTTTTCTGTTTAACACCCACTGCCACTCACAGCTGCCAAGCAGGGCGCAGGGAACAGAGCAGCAGCACAGCTAGGAGCAGAGCTCACAGAGCAGCTGCAAGTCCCTGCACAGAGCTGGGCGTGGGCGGGTCCCCTCCTCTCCCGGTTCCCTGCTTTTCCTTCCGCAGGCCCGGGCCCCACCTCCTCCACGCAGGCGGCCAATCCCAGTCGGCTCCGGCCAGTTCCCGAGGGCAGCGGCGGACGGAGCCTGGGAGCTGCTGGAAGAGCGGGAGCTTTGTGCCCAGGGGCAGGTAAGGCACTTGCAGGGGCGTGGGTGACTGTGGCTTTACAGACCCTCCCGGCAGCACCTGGAAACAATGCCAGCAGGAGACCCGCGCTGCCAGGAGCGGGCGGGCCTCGGCCTGGAGCCTCTGGTGCAGTCTTGGCACTGCACCCCAGCCCTCGCATGGGCCTGGCAGCCTGGGATCGAGGCGTGTTCCCTGCCCCTAGCGGGTTTGGCTCAGTGGAGAGAGCGTGGGCCTGCGGACTGAAGGGTCCCGGGTTCGATTCCAGCCAAAGGCAAATGCCGGGTTGTGGGCTCCATCCCCAGTCGGGGGCGTGCAGGAGGCAGCCCATCCATGATTCCCTCTCATCATTGATGTTTCTCTCTCTCCCCTCTCCCTTCCTCTGAAATCAATAAAAATATTAAGAAAAAAAATGTGGCTTTCCACATTAGAAACAAAAAAAGACGTGCTCCCCCAGGGAAGCACTTTCAAAAGTAAACAAAAGACAAACTATTTGAAAAATTCAATCTATATTTCATTTACGAAATGTTTATGGTTTTGTTCTCATGTAGACATAACTCAGCTGCTGTGTCCTTGTATAGCCTAGGATTAGGTAGTTTAGGGGGTTGGGTTTGAGAGAGTTGGTTCTATGGGGGCATCTCCAGTTTAGGGTTCCCTGCCCTAAAGTATCCAGCTTCCTCCATGGAAGGGAAACCCAGCCTGGGGGAAGGGTCATTTTACCTTTAACCTTAGACCTCTCAGGCCAGTACCTGGTCTTCTCTGAGGAAGTCACTCTCTCCTTAATTCTTCTCCAGACTTCTGCCAGTGGCCTGGCTTCGGAGCTTTGGGCAATTATTATAGGCCTCTCTGAGGGCATTTTAGAGAGGAAGAAAGTTTGTCATAGCTATGGTTCACTCTGCAAGATGAGTAATCCAGCCTTTCTCAACCTCCGTGTTGCTATTTGGGGTGGACAACTCTTTGTTATGGGGAGTTGTCCTATGCATTATATTAATTTTGTATTCTGCAACTTTACTAAATTTGTTGATGAAGTCTAACAGTTCCTTTTTTTTTTGGTGGAGTCTTTAGGGATTTCTATAAATGATATAATCTGCAAATAAGGACAATCTTAATTCCTCCTTTCTGATTTAGAAAGCTTTTATTTCTTTTTCTTGCCTAATTGCTCTGAACAGTGTCAGCATTTTGAAAAACCCTAACTTAACTCTGGTGCTATGTCACATATAGAAATGTTTTGATATTTGCAACCATAGTAAAACAAAGATTTATATTTTTGATATTTATTTTATATATTTAAATGCCATTTAACAAAGAAAAATCAACCAAAAAAATGAGTTCGCGTGTCACCTCTGACACGCGTGTCATAGGTTCACCATCACTGGACTAGAACTTCCAATATTCTGTTGAATATAGTGGGCGTTCTTTTCTTGTTCCTGATCATAGAGGAAAAGCTTTCAGTGTCTCACCTTTGAGTATGATGTTACCTGTGGGTTTATTTCCTCTATGCCCAGTTTTTATCATGAAAAGATACTGAATTTTGTCAGATGCTCTTTTTGTCCCTATAATTTTTATCCTTCATTTTGTTATTATAGTGTGTTACATTGAGTAATGTGTAGATGTTGAACCATCCTTGGATCCCTGGAATAAATGCCACTTAATCATGGTGTATAATCCTTATAAAGTATTGCTGAATTGGATTTGGTAATACTTTTAAAAATTTATCTTTACTGTTGATAGTATTACAGACATCAGTGTACTAGGGTTCCCTTTTCTCCACATCCTCGCCAACACTTGATGTTTGCTGATTTGTTGATGACAGCCATTCTGACAGGTGTGAGGTGATAACTCATTGTTGTTTTAATTTGCATCTCCCTGATGATTAGTGATTTTGAGCATTTTTTCACATGTACTAGTATTTTGGCCTTTTGTATATACACTTTGGAGAAGTGTCTATTTAGGTCCCTTGCCCATTTTTTTTTTTTTTATGTGTAGGGCATAATGTCACAGGAAGGTCAGAGTATATTGCCACCCGTGAGAAGTCAGCCCCGGTTACTGTTGGATGTGTTATACACAGAAGAGCCATTCTTCAGGCACTGTGCTCTCTCCTCACATCCTCCTTGCCCATTTTTTATGGGATTGTTTGTCTTCCTTTTGTTAAGTTATATGAGTTCCTTATATATTTAGGAAGTTAACCCCTTATCAGATGTATCATTGGCAAAGATGTTCTCCCATGCAGTGGGCTCTCTTTTCACTTTGTTGATGGTTACTTTTGATATGCAGAAGCTTTTCATTTTGATGTAGCCCATTTGTCTATTTTCTCCGTGGTTTCCTTTGCTATGGAGTATCTGCAAATATATTGCTATGAGAGATGGCTGAGGTTTTGCTTCCTATGTTTTTTTCTAGGATTTTTGTGGTTTCACGACTTACATTTAGGTCTTTTATCCATTTTGAATTTATTCTTGTGCATGGTGTAAGTAGGTGGTCTAGATTCTTTCTTTACTTTTTTTTTTTTTTGCATGTACCTGTCCAATTTTCTCAGCACATTTATTTAAGAAATTGTCTTGACTCCATTGTATCCTCTTGCCTCCACTGTCAAATATTAATTGAGAATAATATTAATTGAGAATAATAACCCAATTTATGGGTTCTCTGTTCTGTTCAATTGATCTGTATTCCTGTTCTTGTGCCAGTACCAGGCTTTTTTGAGGACAGTGGCTTTGTAATATAGCTTAATATCTGGTAATGTGATCGCTCCAACTTTGTTCTTCTTTCTCAGGATTGCTGCGGCTATTTGCAGTTGTTTTTTTTGGTTCCATATAAATTTTTGGAGAGTTTGTTCTAGATCTGTGAAATATGCCATTGGTATTTTAATAGGGATTGCATTGAATCTATAGATTGCTTTGGGTAGAATGGATATTTTAATGATATTAATTCTACCAATCCATGAACATGGTATATTCTTCCACTTGTTTATATCTTCTTCTACCTCTTCTTTTCAATGTGCTGTAGTTTTCTGAGTACAGGTCTTTTACCTCCTTGATTAAATTTATTCCTAAGTATCTTAATTTTTTGTTGCAATGATAAATGGGATTTTTTTTTAGTTTATTTTTCTGAGAGTTCATTATTGGCATATAAAAATGCCATTGATTTCTGGGTATTGATTTTATATCCTGTTATATTGCCAATTCATTTATTAAATCTAGTAGTTTATTGGTGGTCTATTATGTCATCTGTAAATAATGACTGTTTTATGCCCTTCTTTTCAATTTGTATACCTTTTATTTTTTCTTCTTGTCTGATTACCATGGCTAGGTTTTCCAGTACTTTATTGAATAAGAATGGTGAAAGCAGACATCCCTGTCTTGTTCTTGTTCTTAGGGAAAATGGTTTTAGTTTTTTCTCATTGAGTATCATGAGGCTGTAGGTTTGTCATATAAAGCTTTTATTATGTTGATGTATGATCTCTCTGTTCCCACTTAGAGTTTTTTCAAAAAAGACTGTTGGATTTTGTCAAATGCTTTTTCTGCATCAATTGATATGATCATGTGATTTTAGTCTTCCAATTTGTTAATGTGATATATCACATTCATTGATTTTCGAACATTCTACTAGCCTTGCATCCCTGGAATAAATCCCACTTGGTCATGGTGTATGATCTTTTTAATGTATTGATGGGTCCGATTTGCTAATATTTTGTTGAGGATTTTAGCATCTGTGTTCATCAGGGATATTGCCATGTAATTCTCTTTCTTTGTAATTTCTTTATCTGGTTTTGGAATTAGGTTAATGTTTGCCTTGAAAAAGAGCTTGGGAATTTTCCTTCCTCTTGGATTTTTTGGAATAGTTTGAGGAGGATAGGTGTTAGTTCTTTGAATGTTTGGTGAAACTCCCTTGTGAAGCCGTCTGGATCAGGGCTTTTATTTCCTCAGAGTGTTTTTTTACTGCTTCAATTTCATCAGTAGTTATTGGCCTATTCAGGTTTTCTGATTCTTCCTGATTGAGTTTTGGAAGATTGTATTTTTTTTAGGAATTTGTTCATTTTGCCCAGGTTGTCCAGCTTGTTGGAATATAGTTGTTCATAGTATTTATTTATTTATTTATTTATTTATTTATTTATTTATTTATTTTTACGATCCTTTGTATTTCTGTGGGGTCAGCTATTCCTTCCCCTCTTTCTTTTCTGATTTTGTGTATTTGGGTCCTCTTTCTTTGTTTCTTGATGAGTCTGGCTATATGTTCATCCATCTTGTTTATCTTTTTCAAAGAATTAGCTCTTGGTTTTATTGACCTTTTGTATGTTTTGTTTGTTTGTTTGTTTTTTGTCTCTGTCATTTATTTCCACTTTGATCTTTATTTCTATCCTTTTCCTTACTCTGGGCTTATCTTGTTTTATTTCTAATTCTTTAAGTTGCAGGGTTAGATAATTTATTAAAAGCTTTTCTTATTTTTTTGAGGTAGGCCTATAATGCTATGAACTATTCTCTCATTGTGTCCCATAGATTTAGGGTTATTGTGTGTTCATTTTCAGTTGTTTCCAAAAAGTTTTTCATTTCTTTCTTGATCTCTTTGGTAACCCACTAATTATTTAATAACATGCTATTTAGCCTCCACGTGTTTGAATGTTTTGGGGTGTTTTTATTGTAGTTGATTTCTAGTTTTATGCCACTGTGATCTGAGAAGATGCTTGATATGATTTCAATCTTCTTGAACTTGTAGAGACTTAGTTTGTGTCCTAACATGTGGTCTTTTTAAAAAATATATATTTTTATTGATTTCAGAGGAAAAGGGAGAGGGAGAGAGACAGAAATATCAATGATGAGAGGGAATCATTGATCAGCTGCCTCCTGCACACCCCACACTGGGGATCGAGCCCTCAACTTGGGCATATGCCCTGACCGGGAATAGAACGATGACCTCCTGGTTCATAGGTCATGCTTAATCACTGAGCCACACTGGCTGGGCTGTCTTTGAAAATGTCCATGTACACTTGAGAAGAATGTGTAATCTATTGC